AACACTGGTTCTGACGTATATTTTACTGGAAGGTGTTACTTTGTATGACTCCTTTTATTTATTCTCACAGTTGTAACACTGATTCTGACGTATATTTTACTGGTAGGTGTTACTTTGTATGACTCCTTTTATTTATTTTCACAGAAGTAACACTGGTTCTGATGTATATTTTACTGGAAGGTGTTACTTTGTATGACTCCTTTTATTTATTCTCACAGGATTAACACTGGTTCTGATGTATATTTTACTGATAGGTGTTACCTATTAAATGTCTTGAACATTAAGATTAATTATACAGAAACCCCTAATCACATCTTAAAAACTATTTACCCTAGGAATGAAATTTCACCGCTGGCCCATCAAATATCATAAGTTTTATTCAGAAACATTTGGTCTTGTTACCGGCTATTGTTTGTTGTTATGGTTTTAGAAGCACTATTGGCTGTTGTTATAGTTTCACAAGCACTACTGGTTGTTGCTATGGTTTCACAAGCACTGTTGTTTTGTACTCCGAATATACCAGTTGTGATGAGTTTAAGTAATTACGCTGTTGCAACACAATAATGTTATAAATATACCTATATTGAATGATGGGTTCCCAAACAATATCTACTCAAGGCCACTGAGCACAGATCGTCATCAAGACAGCGAATATCTGCGCCAGTAGCTCAAAACGTCATCCAAAAACTTCCTAGACAAATGGGGTCCATTAATAATGCATACTAAACCTTCTCTGAAGCAAAATACCTGATACTTCCCTGCAACACCCAGTTAAGAGCCTCCTGTATTAAGTCATGATTTATTTTACCACATGCGTCTTCTTTTCTGGTAAGTCATGTTGTCCTGTGCATCACGTGTCTTTTTTTTAATTCATCTTGTCCTGTGAATCACGTGTCTTTTTTAAAAGTCGTGTTCTCCTATGCATCACGTGTCTTTGATTAAAAGTCATGTTGTCCTGTGCATCACGTGTATTTTTTAGAACAAGCCACTTCTTCCTGTGCACGACGTGTTCTAATGTTAAAAGGAACTCCTCTTTTCTGTACAATATTTTCTTTAGAAGCTAGACAACCAAGGAGATTCTGATATGACTTTTTCTGACGCTTACTAACTTTGTTTACGTTACGCATCCCCGCATGTAGTGACGTCTGCTGGTCCCATCTCGATCTAACTGAAATTTTCTATAAATACATCAGGGTTACGTAGAATAATTACTTGACTTCCGCAGCAATGACCCATCTGCTCGAGTGTGAGAAATGTAATCCAGAAACCGACTCAGTAAACAAAATACAACCTTAGAAGTGACTGATTTAAGGATACTACAATTTTCAACAAAACCGGCAAACATGTCTGATTACATAAATATAATCCACCTCGATGCACATGATGGTGGAAAATTATTTGACTAATTTTGCATAATTTTGTATTTTTCTGTAAGTACTTAGGGAAACAGACATTCATAAAATCATTAAAGTTTAGATGTATATTATGAAACTTTATTTGTTGATACAATGGAAATATGTTCGCAAATTTATCATTGTGAAGAATTCAGAGGTGTGTATCACAAATCGAACAATAAATACCAGTGAATTCTTGTTTTTGTTTCAAGAACAGTAGAAAGAAAACAGCCCGAACTTTCATATAAGCGTTCTATCTGTTTTTTTTTTAGGATATTAAGCAAACAATGGCCAATCAGCTGCGTTTAACGTGCTACCTGTTGATGACGTCACAGTCTACAATCTAAAAAGATAACACTCTTTTTACGACTAGTTTATTGTTGCAGGACGTTTACTTAAAGAACATTTCAAGCAACGAGAACATTAGACAAGGAATCTACTGTTAAAACAAAAGGAATGACTGAAACAGAAAGCTTTTCTGTCCCGTTTCACTCATGAATTATGAGAATACGACGCGGTTTGTCGTCGTCATGAGAACTACTAATAAGATAAACTGTAATCAGTAGAACTTACGTCACGTACACGATAACTCAAGTAGTTTATCAAGTCCTTGTTACAATAGTAGGTTATCAATATGGAAATGTAACTCCAATAGAAGTATCCAGTAAAGTATTCTTCCAATGGTATTGGTCTAGTTATTATACACAAGTAATAAAAAAAGAAAAAAAAGGATTATGTTGGGATGGTAATGCCAAAAAGCACAGAAACAAGGTAAAGATGAATACACAAAACCATATAGAAATCCCTATATAAGTAACCAAATCTTTCCAAGAAAAACTTTTATCTACAAATATATGTTGAATTCCTTTCATTTGCACGAATTCAGGTTTGAATAAAAGCACTTAAACTGAATAAAGCTATAAAGTCTTACAATAGCTAATTCCCATAAGCTTGCAACATTGACTAAGCAGTTACTTAAGTAGGGATTTTTGTTTGGTTTTGTGTATTCATCCCTACCTTGTTTCTGTACTTTCTGGCATTGCCATCCCTACATCATCCTTCTTTTTTTTACTACGTTTTCTCTCTTTTTTAAACAAGCGAGTATTAATGAATGGCAGTCGCTATGAAGGCAGCAGTTTTATCTTGGCGTGATGAGTTGTCCTGATGGACATCATGTGTTGAAGATAACGAAACCCTAAATTACCCAAGTTAAAATGCAACATTTTAATGTGTAAATAATCACAGCAGCTTCAAGCATTGGTGAGCTAACCCTTCTGACGTCAGAATCAGAATAATCAGAACATTTGAATGTTACGTTACTCGCCGGTTCTCTACTTTAGCGATGTTGTTGGCTAACCTGGAGGTCTTAATTAATAGCTTTTGAAAACGTCGAAAGCCTAAGTTAGATGTGTGTTTTTTGTTATTCAGCACAAAGCTACACAAAGAGCTATCTGTGCTCTGCCCACCACGGGTATCGAAACCCGATTTCTAGCATTGTAAGTCTGCAGACACACCGCTGTGCCACTGAGGGCATGGTAGATGTTCATAAGTCTCTTAGATTGTTATAGGAGAGATTTTGAGACCATGATGAGCAATACATAATATGAGGTGGCCATTTTCCCCGATCCATCTCTACATACTAAGCACTAATGTGCTTAGTGATACAAGTAATTAAAAAAATTGAAAAAATTTAGTAACATGTAGGGATGACAATGCCAAAAAAATATAGAAACAAGGTAAGGATGAGTACATAAAACCGTACAAATTTTTCTACATATGTAGCTACTGAGGCAATGTTACAAGTTTATGGTTATTAGCCAATGTAAGACTGTATAGCACTATTCAGTTTAAATACTTTTATTCAAACCTGAATTCATGCAACTCGGCCCAGCTCTACATATTAAGCACTGCCGTGATTAGTGTAAAAATAAATCAGCCTTCATCCATCAATATTGTTGTATTATAAATATATAAAGCAAAAAACAAATATGTCTACTTCTTCTGATATTCTTATTATACACACTGTAAAAACAAATCTGTCTATTTCTAGCAGTATTGATATGTGTATTATATATACTATAAAAACAAATCTGTCTACTTCCAGCAGTATTGATATGTGTATTATATATACTACAAAAACAAATCTGTCTACTTCCAGCAGTATTGATATGTGTATTATATATACTACAAAAACAAATCTGTCTACTTCCAGCAGTATTGAGTGAGTGTTTACTTCTTGTAGTATTAGTATATTTACTGTACATGAATATGAATATATACACGTATATGTACATATATATATATATATTGCAAAAATAATAAGTATAGTACAATCAATCGAAATCAAAAGAGGGGGGGGTATGTTTTCCTTGTATGTGACATGTGAGAATCCTTGGTCGTGTATGTGATGCGTGAAGGGTCCTTAATGTTTGTCTTGTACGTAATAAATATTACGTGGTGATTCCTTTGAGTTTCTTTTTATGTGATGTGTAGAGAGATCTTACTATTTCTATTGTATGGTATAAGTAGAGAAACATTTGTGTTTACAGTTTATCTTTGGTATACAGTGGTATTGTTTCCCTATGTTAATTTACATGATTCTATAAGAGGAAAAAGAAAAATATAATAAAGATAGACAGTTATACTATATCATCCTTATTTTTCCTTATATATTTCGTTACTGAAGTTTACTGACATAAACTGTAAACCTCGATAGCTTCTTTTTGTCACTGAATAACTTTATTTTCTACTTTTGACGTGTCACGGTTGGTTATAGTTGGATGTAGAGGTCCACGCGTTGATATTACGAGTGGAGAATTCTGAGCGGTTGGACTAAATATAGCAACGAGACTAGGATAAATCTCTGTTTTTAAACAGTCTGCACTTGGTGAGGTACTTTGGAACTGCAGTCTTTCGATGTTTAAACCTTTATTTCTTCTGTAATAACTGAAGCTCCTTATCGGATGGAAAAGATTCCACGAACATTTTCACGCCAGTCATATTTCTGCTGATGATTATATTTGTTTCGTCAATAAATATTACAGCAGTACAGTGAACTTTCTCGACACGTAAACTTGGCGTTATAGAATTTCCAAAGTTTTCTTTTGAGAAGGAAAGTGTTAGTTACAGAGTGAAAGTAACATGGAAGTTGATAAAATTCTAGAAGAAAGTAGTAGTAACATTACCACGATATCTGGTCGACCGTGTCATATAGCTGTCCAGTTGTCGAACGGACAGAATTTTGATCATAATCAGAAAGTCCCGCGGATCGAAATTGAGGGCAATCTGTGGCGCCAGGATAGCGACAAAAGTGATTCGGTGCGGTCCTCTGACGGAGCTGTAGCCCCTAGTCGCAGTAGCAGACGGTCATGCCGCCACGAGAGCCGTCGCCTGAGACGGTCGGTTTCAGCAAGAGAAGCGGAGCTTGTTCGGCCTAAAGTGAAAAGGAGTATCAGCGAGAGAGGAGAACATCTTATTCGACACCATCGGCACCACAGACGGCTGTCCCAGCGAAGTCGCCCAGTATCATATTCAGGCATTACGGCTGCAGATCGTCCCACATTTCCAAATAATTTGAAAAATGGTAATGTATCTTCCCTGTCGGATAGTGGAAGAACTGTGGCCGTTGAGTTAGGACCAACTGAAACACCCGGGGGACCTAAAGAAACACGCCGGAAACATATGGTGTTTGCAGTAGTTTTGATTTCTCTGGCAATTCTTACTGCAAGTGTCCTGTTAGTAACAATAACGTTGTTGTTATCGCCAGGAGTGGATAATGTCAGTAAGTGCAACTTTCGTACATCCACAAACATCATTTGACAGTTTCAAACACATCTAGTAATATAGCCTTTGTGTCTAAAGAGGCAACATCTGCCAATAAATCAGAAAAGCAAGAATTGTATTTTAAATTATTTTGTTCCACAAAATAATCAACACTACTTTAAATTAAGATAAGTATAATAAAGAGTTCGTAGTGTTTATTTGATGCCACTAAGGTATATGTACTTACTGTTGTTTATACAGTGTGAGTAGACAATCGCAACAAACTCCTTACTCAGTTTGAGGTTTCATAGACTGAATGTTAAGGCTTAACACTGACGGTTCAATCGCAACAAACTCCTTACTCGTTTGTGGTTTCATAGACTGAATGTTAAGGCTGGACGCTGTTGGCTCAATCTTAACAAACACCTTACTCAGTTTGAGGTTTTATAGAATGAATGTTAAGGCTTAACACTGACGGTTCAATCGCAACAAACTCCTTACTCGGTTTGTGGTTTCATAGACTGAATGTTAAGGCTGAACGTTGTTGGCTCAATCTTAACAAACACCTTACTCAGTTTGAGGTTTCATAGAATAAATGTTAAGGCTTAACACTGACGGTTCAATCG